ACCAAGTTTTAGACAGGTGAAATTCGTTCTGGATTATATAAAGCATATAGGGCAGGATACTGAACTATTAAAATCAAAAAAATCGCGATTTTTATTGCTATACTTCGAATATAAATATGAAAATCGTCCTAATACCATTTTAATAACATGTTATTGCCTTTCTTTCGGGTCTTTAGGTAGAACAGAAATTGGGAATTGTCGTTCAGATGGCTTAGATTGAATATTTACCTGTGATACAAACAAAGTTTTTTCCTTAAAAGATATCTGTAATGAATTGAGCATGGATTTTTCCCATTCTTCCATAAGATCATCTAGCCATGCAGTACTCAACCCACTTTTTTGTATACCTTGAAGTAATAACTCTTCACCAACCAGCCTATCACGATCTGTTAAAAATTCACGGTATTTTCTAGGGTCTTCTTTTCTTTCTATTCCACTATTATAGAAAGGTATATCTCTTTCCAAATCCCCACAAAAACACTCATGATCCACCTAATTTTCTCTGCCTCTGTAATGGTTGAAAATTCTTTGGGATTTATTCCATGTTCGATGGCATATTGATAAAGGCGATTGTTGTTTGGCGCCATTACCTGAGTTTCCAACAAATGTCAGACTTTTCGCTTTGTGAGAATCCAGAAGTTTCAGACTTTATCCAAGGATCGAGTTCAGTCTCTTTCATATATGCTTTATATAATCCAGAACGAATTTCACCTGTCTAAAACTTGGTAAATCACTACATTAGCATGCCATTTGCAACAGTCATCAGTTAATATCTTTATGGAGGTATTAGAAGACATGTTATTAATGTAAGTCAATTCAAAATCACGTAGATATCAAGAAAAAATATCACAATCCACTTACCAGGGGTTATTTCAATTTCGTGTTGTCCACATTTAATAAAATAAGATCCGGCTTCATATTTACCTCTTATGCTCTTTTTGTCCTTATGATTCGACTTGTATTCTGGACATAATGACTTAAGTATAAATAAGTCCATAATAATCGAATTTTTTACTACTAAATTCTTTATATACTGTATATCAAAATGTAAACTTAATGTTTTATTATGAAAATAAGCGCGGTCATGAGTTGAATTAGATTGTACACTTGCGTGATCAATAGATTAAATAGCGGAGCTTGTGCCAGAGTGAAGTTCATTGTTTCACAATAGGCACATCTTATTTTCTGGCAATACACGTATTATCTTTCAGAGATAGTGCACTTCGTGCATTAGATGAAACATTCACCTCTGAATTAGTCTGATCGTTCCCTGAGGAAACAGTTTTTAAAGTTACTTGATTTATAATATTTTGGATTTGGACATTAGTCAGTTTTGAAATCTCATTTACGCTATAAGTGACTTGATTAATTTTATCTATTCCAACTCCATCTTTTCCGAATAATATAAGAAGTTTTCTAGCTCTAAGGGTTTTTTTGTGCAAGTTATCTTGTGTGATATTAGGAAGAAAAGATTTCATTTCTTTGTAAATCGTCGTTCTGGCCGGTTTATCTTTTATTTTACCATCGGCTGTAATATCACGAACCTTATTTTCGAATTCAAGAGAATAATAATAGCAGTTTAGGATTCCTGTTGTCTTGATTTGATTGCTGTTTTAAATAAATGAGACAAATGTTGGGCAGAATTTCCAAGGGAAACAATATTCGAGATCTCCAAATACATGTTCCCTGATTTGTCGCCAGAGTTGCCAATTTTGATAGAGCTGTCTTGTATTAAACCTTGTTCAACGATTTTGTTTTTATCAATTTCATCGTCCTGTTCTAATTCAGACACTTCAGTTTGCAACGAAGGCAACTCTGTTAAAATCACATGACTTTTATCATTGCCTAAGGGAACGGTTTTTGCATTATGATTAACTTGGGGTTGTGGCTCCATATCTCTGAATTTATTTCATGAAATTGCGACATGTCTTTGGCTTGGTTTCCAGCAGATTGGCGCTGAAGCTTTTTTTCTCTGCTTCTATCTCTTCTCTCATTACTAATCTGTTCTTTATACATTAAATCCACGAATTCATCGACCACCTTATCTTCCGGTGATATCGGCTCAGTTTTTAGCTGATTTACACTGACGCTACATTCCTTATCAGAGTGGTCCACGATAGGTGGCGGGGAATGTTATTGGTAATGATGAACAGGCGATATACGTAGTTTGATTCTGTTTCTCAATTTTATCAACGGTTCGTTCTAGTCTCATGATTTTGGTTTTAAACTCGGCATTGTATTCTATGATCTGTTTTAGTTTTAAGTTTTCGTGCATAAGCTCAGAATTATCGGCATTCTCTTGTCTGCGTAAATCTAGTTCGGAGGACATGTTTGATATTACGTATGTGTTAGCATCTAAACCAGTTATTCAATATTGTCATTCACGTAGTCAGAGTGCCAGAGCACATGTCCAACCGACACAATACGCGGAAAAAAACGTGAAAAATGGAAACGTGAAAGCAGGGAGTAAAAAGTTATGAATCGCTTTATCTTACATCAGATTGATTTGTATTTATATAAAATACCCAAAATATTGCCGTACCAATGTAATTACACTTTACAAAAAAAAAAAAGAAAGAAAAGAAGCCAATATCGAATCCAAAACTTTATGTCTTGTTTCACGTATATATTAGCTAGCTTGGCCGGTCTACCAATAATCATTTCTCAGATTGCGCAAATAAGCTCTTCTTCTGATACCTCTTAGTTCTTTCCTATTGCTTGTGTTTTTTGCTGAGCGCCTTTCTTGCATATCTCGGCTATCTCGGAATCCGGAGTGTAAATCGTCTGACCAATTCATTAAAATTTTTTTACCTTACGAAAATGTCTAAAGCACAAATAGATCTTGCTAACTTGGATTTCAGCCGTACCTACTCATTTGAAGAGTTCGAATTAATTAACGAACAGCTCAAAACACGCACCTTAGAAGTAAACGGGCAACCAGTCAATTTATTTGATCTCGACAAAAACGGAAAGCT